GGTCGATCCGAAACTGATGACACTAGGTCACTAACATATGTTCTCAACACGAATTGACCCAAACCCGAAGTAGCCTAAACCCAAAGTAACTGAACTTGAACAAGTTAAACTCGATCTGACCGACCGATTTGCCTGCTCTATACTCATGACACGCACGCGCCCACACACAGAGAGAGAGAGAGAGAGAGAAAATACTTTGTGATTTCATTTTCTTTTTGTTGTTCCGTTGAATTTTTTATACTAAAAAAAATAAGATAAATTGTTGCATGGACTTAAGTATTTTCTAAGTTTTGAAATAAGTATTTTTAAAATAAAAAAGAAACAGATGTGAAGAGATCCATGTGGACTTTATGTACACCAGAGAGCTTCTCAAAATATAAATAAAAGGATACATAAATTAAATCACTTAAATTAACTCATATTCATTCTTTATGTGGACTAAAAAACATCATTTTTGATTCAACAAGAAAAATATGCGTTTCAAGCCGCACAGCCATAGTGAGTTGGGCCATTCTAAGACACGGACAGCCAAAGTGTTAGATTGGCTAGTCCGCCCATAGCTCTGATGGTTTCCTGCCCACTCCACCTTTCCAGCCCATCTAGATAGTAGTAACTAGTTAACTATCCCCGTCAGATTAAGATATGGACGATTTGACTAAATTAGTAAAATAAAAAGGGATAATTTTGTGCTAATTTTTTAAAAATTTTCTTGATGTGATGGGTAAAAGTAAGATGCGATGTGTAGATTATTAGAAAAAAAAGTATGATGTGATAGGTATGATATAAAAAATTAAGGGGTAAAAGTAATTTTTTAATAGAAATGAGAATGACTGTAAGGGACACAATTTTTTTGAAATGAGAATAACTTTATGGGACGCAGGGAGTACTATTTCTTTGTCTGATTATTTATTTCAATTTGACTTCGTACATTTAAAATTAATAAATTTGACCACTAATAAACCAAATTAATACTCCCTTAGTTCTAATTTCAATCTCCTTTTTGATTTATGATTTTTGATTGAAGTTGTTTTCAATACAATTTATTAGATAATTTGAACGTAATTAAATAATAAATTTTACATACAAAGAATCTATATCAAAATGTGTAAAGAAAAGTAACATGACTATATTATTTTATCAAATAAAGAACATAAAAATAGATTAAATGAATAAAAGTTTACTCTATAAATAGTAAACAAATAACTTAATTTGGGACGGTGAAAGTATTATACATTGATAGAAAAATAATTTTTAGATTTATTTTATCAAATTAATATACCATATATAACTTTTTTTAAACTAAAAGTCAAATTTTAAAAGTGGTTAACGATGAAAATGAAGATAAGATAATAATTTAAGTACTAATTTTTTAATAGGAGGCCCATTAGGTTGCAAAGCACTCCGGCCCATGTTACGTTGTTATGGACTTTAGTTATGGCCTTTTTATTGAAGCTTGATCTTTTGTTTCTTAGGATTCTTCTAAAATATGACTAATATAATTATAATTTTATAAATAGAAGCGTGATCACACTATGATGGTAATGTGGTAGTGTGATAATAGTGTGATGGTGTATTATCAGTCAACAACGGTCAACACCGGCGATCGGTGGTTGTACTCTGACGATCCTTTCGAGTGGCGGCCCGTTGACCGCCCATAGCGAGCGAGAGCGCTATAGTGATGTCACGACAGTAGAAGGTGTTATTCTTGCATTGCAATCTACGGCGGTAGGCGACGACACTCCATTGACATCGGCAAATGATACTGTGACAATTCTTTTTTTTATGATAGCAAGTAGTGCACTCATATATGAGTCATAAACAACTTAAACTTTTATTTTGATATTCTTTTAAGAGCTTTTTCGGAAGCAAAAAAGATAGGGGTCTTGATATCTTCATAAATCTAAATTTTTGTTGTTGTTAGATTTAATATCACCAGATATCACAAATCTACAAATACCAGCTTTTGATATCTTTTGAATTTGTAAACTATTTCTATGAGGATTTGATCGATATCTCCATCAACCGTCAATCACCACATGCGACTGGCTACCGCCATCACCACCAATCACTCTCGTAGCCGACAAACTCCGCTTATCACTAGCTAAGTTATGATTTTATATGTTTCCAAACGACTTTATTTCAGATGTCAGATCTCATATCATTTTTTAGATTTCAGAATCTATATGATATTATGTATCTCCAACATCCACCAACGTGTCTTACTTCTCTTCATCTTTCCTTCTTTTTCTTCTTCTTGTTTTTCTTTTTTTTCCGATAGAAATGCTTGACCAGATTTTTATCAAAAGGGAAGAGTTTAAATGAACACTGAGAAGGTTCCGCATAGCGTCCATCGTCTTTGTTTTGAAACTTTCCAACTCTAAGAGAACCTGAATTAAAACAATTAGAGGACCACTAACCAAGTCTTGTATTGCGCATGATATACGTCAAATGCATATAAATCAGATTATGAAAAATCTAATAGATGGTGAAACAAGTGGAGCATCTTTATATTTTCATCCACGTGATCATAAGCTATACAGACATTGATACAAATATCGTATCGGGATAGGGAAGAACTTCGAGCGTTCTTCAAGCTCCAAGAAAAAGAGGTAAAGAATGGTGGAAAATTTCGAGCGTTTCCGGACTCCAAAGGAAAGAGAACGAGATTAAGATAATTCTTGATTATTGATTGATTTCATAATAACGGGAAATGATTACAATATATAGAGACGAGGGGATGGGGGAACACCCTAATTAACCTAATGGGCTCGGGCCCATACTAAAACCCTAAACAAGATTAACTATTGAATATTAAATGACTACTAATTAATAAATAATATAACTAATCTACTATCCGTATCAGACACCTTCGTGAAACTCAACTCTTTCATAAAAGATATTGAGTAAATTCCATAAAAGGTTCTCAGTTATAGGTCGTTTTACATATTTAGTCCTTACATATCAAATATTACTAATTTAGTCCCCAGTTATTATATCATTTTTCACGAATGGTTCTTTGTCAACGTTTTTGTTAAGAATATGGATAAAATTGTATATTCATACTTCTCTATCTCCTCAATTAAGTTTCCTCCCTCATCTCGTGCTCTTTCCCAAACTCGTCGCTGAGTTTGAAGATCTAAACCCAAAACTGAAATGATCATTTCTCTCTTAATTGTTAGTCTTCCTAGTGGAACCTAAAATCCAAACCAATAAGTGTTATGCATGAGTTTTATTGGTTAGTCTCAAGAAATTGCAAAGAAAATAAACATTAAAACTCATCCATGAAAGTTACTGGTTTCGAATTTGGGTTCCACCAGTTAGACAAACAATTGAGAGAAGAATGATAATTTCGGTTTTGTGTTCAAAGCTTCAAACTCAGCGACGGGTTTGGGATAGGAGTGCGAGGGAAGAGAGAAAGCTTAATTGAGGAGAGAAAAAAGTGCGAATTTACAATTTTATCCACGTTCTTAAAGTTAATGTTAACAAAGGACCCTTTGTGAAAATGAATATAATAATTGGGACTAAATTAGTAATACTTGATATATAGAGACTAAATATGTAAAACGACTTATAACTGGGGACTTTTTATGGAATTTACTCAAAGATATTCTTTAACAGACCAAAAAGTTTTCCTAAAATATCGTCCATTATCATGATAATTACGGTGTACTATTTGATCTTTGCCGTTGTTATTAGGGAGTATTATTATTATTATTATTATTATTATTATTATTATTATTATTATTATTATTATTATTATTATTATTATTACTCCGTATTATTTTAACTCCGTACTCCGTAATTGTTACGGACTACTCCGTAAGTTCGTACCAGATTTCTTCGGCCAATCGGCCTACCTCTAGCTAGCGGCTGTCTTTTTGTAGCTTGGTAAAAAAATTCTTTGATCAAACCTGCTTTAATAAAGTATAGTGAATATAACCAAACACCAAGGTTCAAGTGACATTGGACCTCAATGTCATGGGATGACCTGGGGGCGCTCCGGTGCCCCGTTCGTAAAATGGACGGGTTACCAGGGGGTTAGGGGGGTAGGAACCGTCAATTTTACGAACGGAGCACCGGAGCGCCCCCGGATATCTAATGACATTGAAGTCCAATGTCACTTGAACCTTCCCCCAAACCAAAAGAGCAAGAGGTGGAATTAGAGACTAGGCTTATTATCTTCACACCTAATCTAAATAATTCTAACATTATTAAAATAAATTTTGATCTGATTTGATTTGAATATAATAATATTTAAAATTATGTCTGCTCTGAACTTAATTCGATAAAAAATAATAAATACGTAATAAGAATAAATTAAAGAAAATGAATCTATCCTTTCTTCTCAAGGACGGAACCATTCAATTTTCAAATGTGCCCTTACACTTTTACGAGAATGTACTGATTGCGGTTTATTTATACATAGACAAATGTGAAATCTTAGTATGCCCTCTATCTCTTTAAGAATTTCGTTATTTGATCAACATTCAAAATCTCAAGACTTTTAAATTGATAAAAACATAAAAAATAAAAAATTTATATTTAAAGACTACATCAAATATTCTACAAAGCAAGATGTGACAAGAATATTTTATTTTATCAAATGATCAATGAAAACATGCAAACAAATAAGAGTTATCGAGATATCGTAATAGTTAACAGCAAAATCTTTTAGGGACGAAGGAAATATATATGTTATATATATATATATATATAAAATAGTGTATTCATTAATCTTGGAAAAATAATAGATCTTGAACTTTATTTTCAAGGATTATTATTAAAATTAAAAATATACTCCCTCATTCCATCTGCATGCCTATGTTGACTTGGCACGTATGCTTATTTAAGAAAAAAAGTATCAAACTTTCAATAATACATTTACTTTAAATTTTGAGAGTACCTTATTCACAAAGTAATACAAGTAAAAAACAGATGTGTAATAAAGTGATAAGAGATTATTGCTTGACATAACGAGACTACAAAATGAAATAGGAAAAATATATACTCCCTCTGTCCATATAAACATAAGAGATTTTGGTTTTTAATCGATTTAAGAAACTAACCAGCAAACCTCTAATTAACACTTTCGTTTCATTCCTCGGGAAAAAGATGGCGCTTTATAAAGAGGAGAAACAGGAACAGCTGTACCAAAACGTCGTCGTAATAAGGCATGGTCCACGCCTTGACAACTTCGACGAGAGCTGGGTCCAGAACGCCGGTCGTCCATGGGACCCACCGCTCTACGACGGCGACGAGTACAAAGAACTCTACTCCGAGACGGCCAAGAAGATCCGGGAAGGGATCGGAGCCCCGATCCACCGCGTCTTTGTCTCCCCTTTCCGCCGTTGCCTGCAGACGGCCTCCCGGACTATGGAAGCCCTCTCGTCCGACGGCGCCGGTGGTGTTGCCGCCGGTCTTCCCCAAATTAAGGTTTTCTAATAATTTGATCTGATTAATTTCTTCTCCCAGATCCATATCATATCCCGGCCCATTTCGTTTATATATTGTGTGGATTGATCAGGCTGGCGTGGAGCTTGGATTAGCCGAAATTATGAACAGGAAAGTCATATGGCACCCACCTCAAGATGGAGATTTTAAATTTGTAATCTCAGAGTGTGAATCTCAGTTACCTACTGGAACAACAGTTTGCAATGCAGACAGAGTATATGAGCAGGTTACTTATTTGATTCATTGTATATACACATCCTAAAATTTGTACCCCATTTGTACACCAAAAGTATGCACTAACATTTTGATGGTTTGCACTGACAAAAAAGTGTTGCTGGGTTAACAAAAATTTACATTGACACAAAGTGTGTTAAGGAACAAACTCAACCACAAGCTCATCAAGCTTGTGGTTGTTGTTGTAGCTTAGGATGAGGTATTTATATTTTAACAAAGTGTTAGTGCGTAAACAAAAATTAGCATTACACTAACACAAAATGTTGGTGCATCCATCCGGAGTATAAAATGGTGTATAAATTCTTGGAGTATAAATAACATTTTCCTATTTAAAATGTGTGAATAAATAAGAACAGATTCCAGAGTGGGAAGAGAGTGAAGAAGGAGCAAGGGAGAGGTTCATGCACGTATTTCGCACGCTGGCTGATAAATACCCTCGTGACAACTTGCTCATTGTCACACATGGTACATATGTGTTTTTATTGATTTCATTTTCTGAATATAAACATTATATTCAAACACAAAAGATTATTATATAATTAGTTTTTGTCCGATCCATTAATAAACATGCAACGCAAATACTCCCTCCGTCCCTGAGTGTTTGTCCACTTTCATTTTTGCACACCATCCAATTCACCTTTTTAATCCATTTTATCTTGTTATTTGTATATTAAAAAATTATAAAAATTATATATTAATAATCTATATGTTAAGACGAATCAAACAAGATCACACATGATTATTTTTAGGCTTACACATTCAGAGAATTTGATGAGTCAAAGTGCTTAGATGAACAGTTTCAAAAGTCAAAAGTGGACAAACACTCAGGGACGGACCAAGTATAATTTATGGAATGGATTTTCAATTTTGTGTATATTTTTGTACATATATTTATATAGGTGGAGGAGTAGAGGCTGCAGTGTTGTCATCAGCAATATTCCCGAAAGGGAGTAGGGTCCGGATCGAGTACTGCGCATATGTGCACTTTAAGAGGCCAATTGTCACTCTCCCCCTTCAAACGGAGAGTCACTCTGGGATTGCATTGAAGCCCCCCAAGAAAAAGGATGCCTGAATTATCAATATATACGGAACATATAATTAAACACACACACACACATATACTCCGTATAAAATTAAACTCAACTCTGTTGTGTATGTATGTTTATTTGATCTTTCATTAATATTTGGACTTTGAACTTATTTGGACGTTTGAGCTTAAGATCATGACAAATGGATGGACGAATCCACAAGTTTTAATCAATACTTCTAACACGAGGACGTTTCGGTGTGGTTTCCATGATATTGGAATCTCATGTCATGGGATGACCCGGTAACGTTTAGGTGCCCAGCTTGTAAAATTGGCGGTTCCTACCTCCTAACTCCCGGTAAACCACCTCCCACCCTGCCTCGATCCGAACACACCCCGCTCCCTTCAATTGCACTACACAAGTTGATTTTTGACTTGTGGTGTGCAATTGAAGGGGTGGGGGTGTGTTCGGGTTGGGGCAGAGTAGGGATTTACCTGGAGGGTTAAGAGGTAGGAACTGTCAATTTTACGAACGAAGCTCTGGAGAGCTTCCGGGTCATCCCATGATATTGCCCGAGAATGTCAAGGAAACCGACCCCTTAAAACATACTTATGATACTATATAACAAATCACCTTAAATAAGAGTAAAACATTGAGAAAATATCAAAATAGTAGTTCTATGATTTTATTCCTCTTAACAGATATTTGCACTATGGTATATTGGTAATGTAACACTATATATATACTTCCTCCGTACCGCTATATTCGTCCACTTTTGATTTTTAAAACTGTTCATCTAAGCACTTTGACTCATCAAATTCTCTCAATGTGTAAGCCTAAATATAGTCATGTATGATCTTGTTTGATTTGTCTTAACATATAGATTATTAATATATAATTTCTATAATTTTTTAATATACAAATTACAAGATAAAATGAATTAAAGAAGTGTATTGGATGATGTGTAAAAATGAAAGTGGACAAATACTTTAAACGGAGGGAGTACATATTACTGTACTTGTTGGTAACATGCATAGTCATGATTGGTTATAAAAATACATTTTGACTCGTATTGCAAAAATAAAAATATGAAACTTTTCTTTTGACATACTTTCCAAATTTAACTCATACTTTAAATTTTTTTGGAAACTCAATGTTTTAGGACTATAGAGTTAAGTTTTATGATCTAATGTAATGAAGGATTGGCACACACCGAAGGATTGCAAATCCTTTGGCTGCTAAACAAGGAAGAACAGCTATGCTCTTTATCTCTTCTACCACACTCCTTCCCAAGCCTCCCCTTCCTCGTAAGTCTTTCTCTTTCTACATTGAAAGTTGTTAATGGCGTTTCGATGATCAATTCCCTTTTTTTTTTGCTTTTGTAATGAATCTTTGTATCGTTTTGTTCCGGTAAAAAGTAATTCCACTGGTCCGTCGTCTTCCTTTGACATTGGTTCTCCAAATTCTTTAGTTCCTGTGACTGATTTCAGACACCTCTTCTCAAAATTGACCACCAAGAGAGTTTGATTATTGATGCAACGCTGGATGAAATTTGTTTTTTTATATATAGATTTCAGGAAAACTAAATGGGATCCATTAGGTGCAATTTCCAGATGTGAATTTGCCACTTCATATTTGCACAAGGTTTTTGGAAAAAATAAATAAGAATTGTGTGCTTGGTTTGACGCAGACGAGAGGAAGGTTTTATGAGCTTCTAATGTCTTTCTTCCAATTTGGTTTTCCCTTGTCCCAAGGGAGAATGTATACTGTTCACCTGGCTATACATAGAGCTAGGTACTCCCGGCGAATGTTGATTTTGAATTCAACAAAATGTTCATACCGTAGTGTTCATTCAGAAGCCTGTTCAACGTAGCGTTCATTCTGAAACAACGTAGTGTTCATTCTAAAATATGTTTTTAACTACAAATTTGCTATGATGTACCAAAAAGAAGGTACATCGGGTTGTACATATAATTTGCCATCCCAAGGAGATGTGCCGGTATAATTTTTAATAACATGAAAACTGAGTAAAACATGTCAATCTTTTTGGGGCATGGGAAGTGTACATTCATAGTGACCCTTCATGCACCTGACCCCAAGTTGCTTGGGATAAAGGCTTTGTGATCATCGCTGGTGTTGTTGTTAGTGACACTGCATAATGATCTCTGTATACAGTTGTAGAGTAAGTATTTAGTAATTGTCTTACATGTATTGTTTTGGCGGTGTTTTGATGATACTTCTGTGTTATGTACAGATAGAACTCTTTCCCTTTTTCATACACCCAGGCCTTGTGCAAGGTTACTCTATGGTTCATATACCAATGGCGCAGTACGTGTTAACAGGTTCGTTGACAATGAATTTTGCCCTTTTAATTTGTTTGGATTGCCTACTTTCATTGTTATGGAGCTTACAAACTACTTTTTTCATCATGGCTAGAGAACAGAATAGTCCTGTATTGCATTATGAGGAGAATTTGAGGAGGAGATTTCTTCTATTTTTCCTACTTGCTTCAGGCATATCCCCAGCTTTCCCATGTTTTGGGAAGAGTAAGAACAAAAACCCATACAACGAAAAACGCTTACTTGAACAAAACAAACGAATACAGACAGAAAACAATGCCCCTGAAGAATTTCCAAACTTTGTACGAGAAGGTCTGTTTATCTGTTCTTAAAACATAATTGATCTCAATTTCACCCTCTCTTTTTTCAACTGCCCATCCCGTTTATGTCGTAATTAAAACTTGTGATCCATCCAGGGTTCACAGTGAAAGTATTGACATCGAATAACTATGTAACGCGCGACTCAGGTTTGATATTTTGGGACATCGTTGTTGGCAAAGGTGATTGTCCAAAGGCTGGTCAGCAGGTTTTCTTTCAATTTATATTTTAACCTGCAAGTGTAGTTTTGTTTTGTGAAACTTGCCACGAATCCCCAAAAACTATGCACTGCCATTAGAAAGTGGTTCACTTGCTTTTGTGTGTATTTTGTTTTTTTAAATATCAACAGCAGTGATGTCTCCATTGGAAACAGAATTTGGAAACAGCATCCCTACTTTCAAGTAGGGGTATGTGTGCGTACACATAGCCTCCCCAAACCCTACTCTTTGTGGGATTCAACTGGGTTGTTGTTATTGTTGTTATCAACAATTACTTTTATAGGTGTTCAAGTTAGTATTAACAAATTTGTGTTTTTTACTTGCTATATAACTATTAATCATTGGAAGAAGAAGGCTGTTTCATTTTTATAAATGTCAACCAAGAATTCATTCTTCATATCCTTCTAGACAGCAGGCTTTTTACTTATACACACAAATGATTCTTAGACAACACGGTACTTGCTTGGTTCATGGAATTCAGCAAGGAAAAGAACAGAGAATGCAAGGAAAAACAATTTTGGCTCTTGGTAATAAATAAAATGAAAAGAAAATTGAGAGGGAAAAAAAGTGAGGAAAATGTAGAGTAAAAATGACAAAATAGCTTCTTTTTTTTGTGAGGAAAAAGAGAGAAAACAGCAAACTCCTCCCTCCCGCCCCTCCCTCATCACTCGCTACCCCTCCTCTCAACCATGCCCTCGTTTGCTCTACAAAAAAAGGAGTTATTGAAAAGTACTCCGTAATTTCTTTACCAATTTTCCTACTAGCCAAGGATATCTTTTTTTGCTATTCTTTCCTTAGCATTTTCTTTTCTTTTCTAATTCCCCGAACAAAAGATAGTGGAGATATGTATGCATATACTCATGACCTTTAGACTACTTGGCACCTTTGGAACATGTGAAATACACTTCGATATACTTAACGAAGCTCCTAGTTTTCCCCCCTCTGCCCAAGATCACGTTGTTATCAACTTATTGTTGTCCATGTTATTTGTTTAGAATTTCAAAGGTATTGGCATGAATTCAATTAAAACTACTCTTAGTCTCTTACACGACCCAATCTCCTCTTTGCCTAAAACTCCTGATAATATTTTCCAATGCAATAGAATTCAAACATTTTCTTGCCAATTATCAGGTTATCATAATCTTTCCAACCCAAGAGTTTACATGTCCCTCTATAATAATACTCCATAGTAGCTATAATTATTATCAATTTATATTCCATCACCATAGAATCTTGCACTCTAGTGTGGGGTGCCCCCCAAAATTGTAAAACATCATCCAAGTGGGTATAAACTATTACCAAACTACCTTAGATTACCTAAGATAGTACCAAAAATAAGACCATATCATCAGTGTTAGTTTGGAAGTTGTAATGGTCAAAACAAACCAATTTGTTAACAATATCCCAATTGCATCAAGACTTTGATGCTTTTAAAGTCTGAGGTACTGATTTGGGATTTCATGACTAGTTAAACAAATTAAAGCTTGAATCTCAATTCAATGGGGCTGGCTACATGAATCACTAGAAAATCAGCCAAGGCCATCCACTGAACTTCACTGTATCCATCTGTTATCTCTCACCAAATGTTCATTAAGCCCCAAGGCTATAATGTCTCTCTTATCAGTTGTCACCTCTTTACACCTACAGTATTCAGGTTCAAATAATAAAGCTGAATAACACCAAAGAGTACATTTTTCAATTTAAAGTAGGTGGTGGTCCATCGATTGATATGAATGTTTGTAGCATGTTACTTTATATAGAGTTACATACAAAAAAAAGTGTGTATTAATTTATGCATTTGTCGAATGTGCTACTTTATACTAACACAAAAGATTTGTAAGATTTGTATCTATGGTGTCCGGGTATGAGTTTGAATGATGCATTGAATGCATGGAACTTCACGAGGTATATCCATTCCTTGTTGGCAGGTGACTTTTCATTATGTTGGTTATAACGAGTCTGGACGCCGTATTGACAGTACATACTTACGAGGTGCTCCCGCAAGAGTGCGAATGGGCACTAATGGCTTGGTCCCAGGTGATGCTCTAATATACTGAGAGGTAGTCTTGGTTTTGTGAGTTTTTCTCTAATAGATACTCCGTATAGGATAAGTGTCCTTAAGGAGTCTGGAAAATAATAAGGTGAAGAACGTAGAAAGGAAAAACATATGCGGAGTATGAAGTAATAAAAATTTGAAGGAGAATGATAGATAAGCTAAAGTTCAATAAATGTATATTAGATATTTGATGATACTCATTGCAATTATGTATGTCTAGTGATATTTTGTTTTCCTTTGCATTTTACGAAGTTGAACCGAACATAGGAAATAAAAGAATATCCTTGGCACTTTTCCCTTCCCATTTGCATTTTTTGGGATCCAAACATACCAGCCTAAAAGCTGCAAAACAAATTACAGGTTTTGAAGAGGGACTTGAGGAAATGAGACCCGGGGGAAAGAGGAGAATTATCATACCTCCAGAGCTTGGGCCACCGGTGAGTCTTCTACCAAACAGAGCCTTTGATATGTGCTTCCAGCATATATTTTGACACAATTTTCAGTTTATTGGCACTTTCAAAGTTTCAATCATTTTGTCTGATGGTGTTGCAGGTAGGACCTTCAACATTCTTCAGCTCCAAACAGTTTGAAGTTTTCGACGTGGAATTGCTTAGTGTTCAAGACTGTACCCGCAGGACCATAGGATTCTACTCTGATATTGTCTGCAATTGATGTACCATTAATGAGATATTAAGCTGTCTGTAGTTGAAGCAATCCTTCATCTTCGTCGCGGCGAGGAGCATAAGATTTAAATCTTTTTTTCCCTAGTTCTGAGTAGCATTGAGTACACACAAGCATTTCAAGGAAAAAAAATGCAGACCAAATGATGTGTTGTTCAATACTAATAGAGGACTGTGATCCTAACATGTACCATTATGGATTTTATGCACCATTTTCTACTTGTTTATCACTTTATTATCAGTTGACAACAGACTTCATAACTCAAAATGGATGTCAATCAAAGCACACAAATCCCAAGAAGCACCAAGATAATCATGTCTCATAAGTTAATTAACAAATTCTTTTTTTATATACTTAAAAGTATGGGTGCTTCAAGAAAACATGAAGCATACAATTATATGCCACATTCATGATAATGTTATAATAATAGAGAAACAATGTCATTATTCACCAAATTGTTATGTTAAATATTGTAGATAATATTATTTGATCAACATGAAAAGATCATCAAAATTGGAATCCAATGAATGAATTAGATTCCACCTACAATTTTTCTATAAATGCCTTTTTTTTGCAATTCAATTTTATAAAAGTGGCAGTGAATGAGGTCTCATCAATAAAAAACCACCATTCAAACTACAATTAAATTAATTACTATTTCTGGAAAATAACAATTTAGAGTTACAATAAAGATGGGTACTGTACTGTTGGGATTTACAGTAAATTTTTTTCCTCATTACTGCGTGAAAAAAAACAGAGCTTATTATTCTACTGTTATCAGTCCGAGAATGGTGAACTGTGCGTCGCTCCAGCCCACCACCACCATGAAAGAATTTGGAAAGCACGCACGCCTTTGTTAATTACTTAATTATGGGTTTAAAGCTTCAACTTCTTCTGTAATCAACCCTATATAGAATAATTAGAATATACTACGTTTTTTTGCTCCATTTTCATCTCATCTGTCCGAATTGCTACTGCTCGCCGCACGGGGCAACTTCCCAACCTTCTCTCTGTCAACTCCCTGCGCTTCTTCTCCGCGTGTATAGATACATATATGATTGATTATACGTATAGGATTTAGTGTGATATTCTTGTGGGATTTCAAGAACTGCGCAGAAATCTGCGAGCTTTTTTGGGTTATCCGGGGAGTGTGGGGGAGTTAAGAGGAGGGGGATTAGCAGCCAGGTCTGTGAAAACGGGAAAGCTGTAGACTTGTGCGTTTACATCTGGAGATTCTTTATTTTTCTGCCTTTTATAGCCACTGATCTTGAATGCTGATGGTGTGTGGGTATGCATATTTATACTTGTTGCATTGATGGGAAGTTGTTGAGTGAAATTTGCTGATTTGGCTAGGGTTTATCAAGGATCAAGCAATTGTCTTTTGCTCCGGGTTTTATGTGAAAGTTTGTCTCGTTTTGGAATTGTTTTTTTTGTTCCCTGGCTTGTTTCTTTGGCTTTTCCAAACTGAAGAAGAGTTCTTGTCTGGAAAAATTGGATCTTTGTTCACTCAGTGTGTGGTCTTATAAAAAAGAGAGTGGCGTAAGTGTTCGGGTCTTGTTGCATTGATCATTATCTGCTGAATAAGAACCCTTCTTTTTTTGGGAATAAACAGTATGACTCGGAGGGTGAGAAGGAAATTGGCAAAAGAAGGCCCAGAAGAGTGCGTGGAGCTTTTAGATATTGATGAAAACAATAGTATTTTAGACGAGAGAGGGGTGGTTGATTGGACGAAGTTGCCCGATGATACTGTAATTCAGCTTTTTTCATCTATGAATCTTCGCGATAGGGCAAGTTTGTCATCAACATGCCGGTCTTTGAGAGCTTTGAGCATGTCAGAATGTTTATGGAGGCAATTGGATCTTCGTTCTTACAAGTTTGATGCTTCAAGTGCCGCTTCTCTTGCGTCTAGGTGTGTGAATCTTCAAAAGCTTCGGTTTCGGAGTGCTGATTCTGCGGATGCTGTTATACACCTTAAGGCTAGGGATTTGCGTGAGATAAGTGGTGAATATTGTAGAAAGGTCACAGACGCCACACTTGCCATGATTGTGGCTAGACATGAAAAACTTGAAAGTTTGCAGCTTGGGCCGGATTTTTGTGAAAGGATCAGCAGTAGTGCAATAAAAGCAATCGCTGCTTGTTGTCCTCTTCTGCGTAAGCTAAGACTCTCCGGTGTACGTGATGTAGATGGAGATGCCATCAATGCTTTGGCTAAGAATTGTAAGAATTTGATGGAAATTGGGTTTATAGACTGTCTAAATGTAGATGAGATAGGGATAGGGAGGGTATTATCCCTTAAGTTCCTTTCAGTTGCAGGATCAACTAATATAAACTGGAATTTGGCTTCACAACATTGGAGTGAGCTACCGAATTTGATGGGTTTAGATGTTTCTAGAACAGATATCATCCACAGTGCTGTCGAGAGATTGTTTTCTTCCTCGAAAAGCTTGATGGTTTTATGCGCTTTATATTGCCCTATGTTTGATCAAAATGCCAACTTTGTCCCTCCGTATAACAAAGGCAAACTGCTACTTTCTCTTCGGACGGACATTTTTAAAGAGGTGGCTTCCTTATTTGTCGACACTAAATTAAAGAACGAGAGGAATATTTTTTTGGAATGGAGACAATCAAGGACTAAAGGAGGGAAGCGAGAGGAAGTTATGAATTGGGTCGAATGGATCCTCTCTCATTCTCTTTTGCGTGTTGCTGAGATCAACCCCCAAGGTTTGGATGCATTCTGGCTCAATCAAGGTGCAAATCTGTTTCTCAGTTTGACCCAAAGCACACAAGAAGAAGTTCAGGAAAGGGCTGCAACCGGCTTAGCAACGTTTGTAGTAATTGATGATGAAAATGCTAATGTTGACAGTGGAAGGGCTGAAGCAATTATGCCAAGTGGTGGCATTCGGCTTCTTTTGAACCTTGCAAGATGTTGGCATGAGGGGATCCAATCAGAAGCTGCAAAGGTAGAGTCTTTTAGGGACTCGTAGTATAAGTGCTTTTATCACAAGTCATTTATCATAAAGTGCTTAAGAGCCTGTTTGAAAAGAGCACCATTTTACTGTTTGCTTTCTTAAATAATCATTTGACATGTTTATTTACTGTTAAAGATATTTTCCATTTTCATTCTAAATGTTTCTTTTTGAAGTTAGGTGCTTTCACTCCTTTATAAATTTAAACACGCAGTAGACTTGAGCATGATTTCTTGTGCTTTAGTTATTCTCACTTGTGACACAACCAAAAGGGAAAAACATTAGCCTTATTTTACTTATTTTTTCACTGTGCTATCAATCATTACTATAAAAAGGGTAATGGACTCATGCAGGCAATAGCAAACTTATCTATGAACGCCAATGTTGCAAAGTCTGTTGCAGAGGAGGGAGGTATTAATATCCTAACAAATTTAGCAAGGTCAGCGAATAGGTTGGTTGCTGAAGAGGCAGCAGGAGGACTTTGGAATCTCTCGGTTGGGGAAGGGCATAAGGTTTCCTTCTAACTTTTATAGGGAAGTGCATTACATTAAGTTCCATTCATTCATTCGTCTGAAAAAAATAGGTCTCTTTCCAGGCTTCCATTGCTGAAGCAGGTGGCTTAAAAGCTTTAGTTGATCTGATCTTCAGATGGTCATCGAGTGGTGGCGAGGGGGTTCTGGTATGTGTTTTGTACTATATTGCATATTTATGTACTCTTGTTTTTGTATGGCATTTATATTGTGTAAGAGGCTCCACAGATTATTATTATTTTTTGAAAAAGCTACGTTTATGGGTGTCAGGAGCGGGCTGCTGGTGCATTAGCAAACCTTGCAGCTGATGATAAGTGTAGCATGGGGATTGCTTCAGTAGGTGGCGTACATGCACTGGTTACCCTTGCTCAAAACTGCAATGCTGAAGGAGTCCAAGAACAGGTATCACTAGTTTCTAGAACTTTCGGAGCTTATTTTTATGTAGTGGAGTTAATTTGCATTAAATGTTTTTACTTTTTTCCTCTGGAGCATTTGAATCCAAAGTACAAAAATTCAGTGCATGTTTGTTTAGTTATTATTGTATCACCTAAGTTGGAAATTCATTTTAATATAATACAATATCTTTTCATGCTTAAAAAATGTGTAGTGTATTGGAAATAAATGTGCAAGTGCTCTGTTGATAGTGGGGTTCATTTAATTCTTCTTCTGCTTATGGATAAGCCTTGATTACTATTGACATGTCTTTGAAACTGCTTTGGGCAATTTCATTAAATTTCCCCTGTGCTTAATAAACGACACTCCATTTCAAGTTTTTATTCTTCTGATTCCGGCTATTAAAGCGTAGTGTGAAATATATGATATGTTGCTTCTTTGGGATGCATTTCCTAATGTTATGTCCTAGATGAAGAAGTTATGACTTAGTTTCTGTGACTATACAGGCAGCTCGTGCTTTGGCAAATCTAGCTGCTCATGGCGATAGCAACTGCAACAATGCTTTTGTTGGACAAGAAGACGGAGCTCTTGAAGCCCTTGTTCATCTTACCCGTTCCCCTCATGATGGTGTTAGGTATACATTTTTCAACTGTTGCATTTATGCATAGTTTGAACATGTGGTATCTTTGCAAATATTCAAACAATTCTATCTTCTAATTCATTTAGGCATTAGCAAATGCTGCTATTATTTGTCACAGCGTTAGGGTGCAACCCTCAACATATAAATATTATTATTATTAAGTGTAGGAAGAATGTCTATTTTCTCACATTATGATTTGTAGAAAATGCATCTAGAGAGAGAGAGATAATCACATGGATGATAAGCTAATCGATGATGTCATGTTGAACTAAGTGATGCGTTATGATGAACAAATTGTTCTTAGATATTTCTTAAGTTATTACAACTATTAACGGCCGATACAATCCCCTTCAATTGGAATTATTAACAAATAGTTAACCACATTTCCATTTACAGCTTTTATAAAGAAGTTTCCTATATGTTCCCTGGTCTTTACATATCACACATGGAAAATTAAACTTTGTTGCATCTTCACTTGAACAAAAATGACCATCTACTTGAGTGTGTACATTTTGCTCATGGAAGACAAAAATATGGGGGACACGGAGGGCAGTGTCACAGCAAAGTTTTGCAGGATTTGGAGCTTTGAAACCTGTTTCATTCAATAGATTTTAAAACCATATAATTGCACTCGCAGACTGTTCCATAACCCGATACAGCTATTC